AAAAGCTTTACTGAAGAAAGTTAATAAATTAGTTAGACAAGAACGGCCTCTCGTGAATCCATGCTGAGTATCATTAATCAAGCTATGCTTATTGAGATGGCTTCTTATAATCTCAGCTATAATTGACTCTAGTAATTTTCCTACAATTGAGGTCAGGCTTATTGGGCGGTAATTTGACGGTAACGACTTGTCCCCTGTTTTAAAAATAGGAATTACATTAGCCATCTTCCACATATCAGACACTACACCTGTTTGAAGAGATAAATTAAAAATATTAATGGTTCACAGAGTTCCATTTTGCATTCCTTAAGAACCCTTGAAAAAAACCTCATCAGGACCTGGCGACTTATTTTGCTTCAGTCTGTCTGTCTGCTTCACAACCATTTCACTAGTGACTGTGATGTTACATAATTTATCTTCTTCTAGCCCACTATAAAAATTAATTACTGGAATATTGTTAGTGTCTTCCTGTGTAAAAACCAAGAGAAAATAATGATTTAAAATCGAGCACATTTCATTCTCTTTGTCAGTAAGATGCCCATAGTTATTTTTAAGGGGACCTATCTCATCTCTAACTTTTGTTCTATAGACCTGGAAAAAACTTTTTGGGTTAGTTTTAGAATCCCTAGCAACTTTAATTTCATAGTCCCTTTTAGCTTTTCTTATCCCCTTTTTAATGTCCCTCTTAATGTCAATATACTGATTCATAAGATGACCCTCACCTCTTTTGATGCGCCTATAAATTCCTTTCTTATGCCCTAGTAGGTATTTCAGCCTATTATTCATCCATTTTGGGTCATTTCTATTTGATCTAATTTCTTTATACGGGATAAACGTTCTTTGAGCAGCATATATAGTGTTCAGAAAACTGACATATTGATACCTCTCTTCATTACCCCAGTCAACAGATGATAAGTGTTCTCTAAGCCCATCGTAATCTGCTAAGCGAAAATCCGGGACTGTTACTGAGTTATCGCTACTATCGTACTTCCATTCAATGCTAAATGTAATTGATTTGTGGTCGCTAGCACCCAGTTCCTCTGAAATTTCTAAATTATTAACAAGGGATTCATTGTTTGCCAGAACTAAGTCAAGCAGGTTATTTCCCCTTGTAGGTTCTGTCACAAACTGCTTCAAAAAACAATCCTGAACTACTTCTAAGAAGTCGTATGATTCTAAATTCCCAGTCAAGAAATTCCAATCAATATGACTAAAGTTAAAGTCTCCTAGAATTACTACATTATCGTGCCTTGTGGCCTTAACAATTTCCTCCCATAGTAGTCTCCCTTGGTCCCTATCTAAGTTTGGGGGACGGTATATCACACCTAAAATCAGTTTTTCATGCCCCTCTGAAAATTCTATCCAAACAGACTCTGTATGTGTTACTGCAGACTTAATACCCGTTTTTATGCAACAGCTCAAGCGATCTCGGACACACAATGCCACCCCACCCCCCTTCCCGATACTTCTGTCTACTTGGAACAATTTAAAACCCTGAATGTGACATTCCGCAGGCATGTCTCGACTTTTTAAATTAAACCATGTCTCAGTTAAGGCAAATACATCAATGTTACCTGCACTAGCAACTAATCTCAACTCGTCCATCTTATTCCTAGCACTACGGTTATTAGCATAATAAACATTGAAAGACTCTCCTTTCTCTTTACCCTTCCTGCTCATTTCTGTTTTTCTACTAAACCTATTACTGTCCTTATCACCCAGTGTCACTGGCTTTTCAATATCTACCTCGTTCTGCTTATTACTAGTTCCTCTAGAACCCATAATATTACTACACTGGGACTTCACTGTTTTCCTGCCAAGACCCATACCACTAACTATTCCTAGTTTAAAGTCCTAACAGCTCCCTCCACTGCAGTTGCCAGTGCCCCCACCCCAGACCTAGATAAGTGAACCCCATCCCTGGCATACATGTCATTTCTGCCATAGAAGAGGTCCCAGTTGTCAATGAATGTTACCGCATTTTCCTTACAGTATTTGTCCAGCCAGCAATTGACACCAATTGCCCTGGACAACCATTCATTTCCAACTCCTCTCCTTGGCAAAATACCACATATGACAGGGTTTCCACCCTTCCTCCTAATTATTTCTATTGCTAACCTATACCTGCTAATCAGGTCTTCACTCCTATGTCTGCCAACATCGTTGCCTCCAGCACTGAGACAGATAATAGGATTTCTCCCATTACCTCTCATGATGTCATCCAGACGGCTAACAGTATCCTCCATCCCAGCCCCAGGAAAGCAAACTCTCTGTCTCCTACTCCTGTCCTTCAAGCAGAACGCCCTATCCATATACCTAACTTGGCTATCCCCAACAACAACAATATTCTTACCTTCCTTGGTGTCGTTCGTCATGACGTTCCCAGTAGTGGACTCACTTTCGTCGGGTAGCACTGAGAATGTATTAGATGTTTCCACAACAGTTTCCACGGCAGTCTCTTTCTTCTTCATCATTTCTACCTTTCCATTCGTCTTCTTGATCGTCAACTTCGTTCCCTGCTGTCCAGCCACTGACCAGTTTCCCTTCTTGACCTGAGGACTCAAAACAGGAGGACTACTACGAATCTTCTTGTTTTCCTTGGCGGGAATATTTTGAGGAACTTTTAAATGTCGATGAAGAAAGGGAGGCGGTAATTTCATGCACTGGCCAGGGAGGTGTAACATCTTTTAGGAGTAAGAGCAGAATGTGAGTGTAGGGAAGATGTGTGAGGCATTACATAGAATGAAAGAAGGTAAAGCAGCTGGAACTGTTGGGATCATGACAGAAATGTTAAAAGCAGGGGGGGATATAGTGTTGGAGTGGTTGGTATTTTTGTTTAATAAATGTATGAAAGAGGGGAAGGTACTTAGGGATTGGCAGAGAGAATGTTTAGTTCCTTTATATAAAGGGAAGGGGGACAAGAGAGATTGTAAAAATTATAGGGCAATAAGTTTACTGAGTATACCAGGAAAAGTGTATAGTAGGGTTATTATTGAAAGAATTAGAGGAAAGACAGGGAGTAGGATTTTGGATGAGCAAGGAGGCTTTAGAGTGGGTTGAGAATGTGTAGATCAAGTATTTACATTGAAGCATATATGTGATCATTATTTAGATAAAGGTAGAGAAGTTTTCATGCATTTATGGATTTAGAAAAGGCATATGATAGAGTGGATAGGGGAGTAATGTGGCAGATGTTGCAAGTATATGGAATAGGTAGTAAGTTACTAAATGCTGTAAAGAGTTCTTATGAGGATTAAGAGGCTCAGGTCAGGGTGTGTAGAAGAGAGGGAGATTACTTCCCGGTAAAAGAAGGTCTTAGACAGGGATGTGTAATGTCACCATTGTTGTTTAATATATTTATAGATGGGGTTGTAAAAGAAGTAAATGCTAGGGGGGTGGGGTGAAGGGTGGGATTAAATTATGGGGAATCAAATACAAAATGGGAAGTGACACAGTTACTTTTTGCTGATGATACTGTGCTTATGGGAGATTCTAAAGAAAAGTTGCAAAGGTTAGTGGACAAGTTTGGGGGGGCGTGTAAAGGTAGAAAGTTGAAAGTGATCATAGATAAGAGTAAGGTGATGAGGGTATCAAATGGTTTAGATAAAGAAAAAATGGATATCACATTGGAGAGAGGGAGTATGGAAGAAGTGAATGTTTTCAGATACTATTTGGGAGTTGACTTGTCAGTGGATGGGTTTATGAAGGATGAGGTTAACCATAGAATTGATAAAGGAAAAAAGGTGAGTGGTACGTTGAAGTATCTGTGGAGACAAAAAACGTTATCCATGCAGGGAGTGTATGAAAGTATAGTGGTACAAACACTCTTATATGGGTGTGAAGCTTGGGTTACAAATGCTGCAGCGAGGAGTTGGGTGGAGGCAGTGGAGATGTCGTGTCTAAGGGCAATGTGTGGTGTAAATATTATGCAGAGAATTCGGAGTGTGTAAATTAGGATGAGGTGTGGAGTTACTAAAAGTGTTAGTCAGAGGGCTGAAGAGGGGTTGTTGAGGTGGTTTGGTCATTTAGAGAGAATGGATCAAAGTAGAATGACTTGGAGAGCGTATAAATCTGTAGGGAAAGGAAGGCGGGGTAGGGGTCGTCCTCGGAAAGGTTGGAGGGAGGGAGTAAAGGAGGTTGTGTGTACGAGGAGCTTCTAGCAAGCATGTGTGAGCGTGTTAGATAGGATTGAATGGAGATGAATGGTTTTTGGGACCTGATGAGCTGTTGGAGTGTGAGCAGGGTAATATTTAGTGAAGGGATTCAGGGAAACCAATTATTTTTATATAGCTGGACTTGAGTTCTGGAAATGTGAAGTACAGTGCTTGCACTTTAAAGGAGGGGTTTGGTATATTGGTAGTTTGGAGGTGTATGTTATATATCTTTATACACATATATGATTCTAAACTTTTGTATCTGGGCACCTCTACAAAGACAGTAATTATGTGTGAGTGAGGTGAAAGTTTTGAATGATAATGAAAGTATTTTCTTTTTGGTGATTTTCCTTCTTTTTGGGTCACCCTGCCTCAGTGGGAGACGGCCGACGTGTTGGAAAAAAAAAAGTAAAACAATATTTGACTTAGACACACTAACTTTCCGTGATGCTGGGGCATCATCGTGCAATGATAGGGTTTGAGTAGGTTGTGCCTAAGGGTAGGGGCCTTTTATCTTCACTCTTCCCACAGGGAAGAAGTTTGTACTAAGAACTCAGCATTATTTTTTTTTTTTTTTTTTTTTTCCAACAGTGATTGAATGATGGTCAATGTTTCCTTCTCTGGGGTCATCCTTCCTTAGCAGGAGGTGAAGTTGAGGAAAAATAAATTATATAAGGCTTTTAGTAGTATGAATTGTACATGAATAAGTTATTTTGTATCTGCTAGAGATTACTCCTTGCCATAATTATCTTAGTTTTCATGACTGTTTCAAGTACCACAGTCACATAATTTAATGCAAACCCAGGTAACAATAGTGCCTGTAATAAATATTACTTGAATTCATAGGTGAAAAACTATTAAATGGTGGAGGCTCAAGTTCAACACGTAAAAAGAAACGCCAGCACCGTAACAGTCAAGGAGATGCACGTTGTCGGAAAATATCGGCATCTTCTGTTAGTTCTTCTGACTGTGATACTACTAGAGATATAGAGGAAGATTTTGGAACTTTAGATTTCAGTGATCTAGAAGAGCGAGTTCCCTCACAATCTTCCACTGGCATACCTGAGATCAAAAGTAGTACTTCTAAACTGGCTGTACCAGTACACCACACTGAAGATGGTGAGGCTGTTATTCAGGTTCCCAAAGGTAAGTGTGATACAGTAGCTAAGTTTAAGTTTGTGTGTGTGTTTTATTAGTTTCCCACTACTGTATATTGAGTTATAAGTAGGATACAATACATATAAACCAATTTAATATAACTTATGGTATTTGGATATGCTTCACAATTGTATTTTTTGTTTCCAGATAGTAGTTCATGGCAGAGAGTTTGTAGGAAGAAAAATACAGTTGGTCAGTCTGTCATCACTCCGGTAAAATCACCAACAGAGTCACCGGTTCAGGAAAATATTGATTTTGACTATACTCAGTCTCCTCTGATTTCCTCCCCAGCTGAACTTGATGATGCTAACACATACAGCAGGTATATAAGCACTCATGGTTACTTTTCATGAGGCTCTACCTACAGTGTTCTATCAAGACACATATTTTTCTCTTTTAGCAATTAACCAGCTGTTAAGGTTGAATACCAGAATGGCCAGATACGTGGACAAGCCTGATAACCCACTCATGAGAAGGAAAGTGTTTAAAGATGCCTAAAATGGATATATGATGATTGACCCCACACACCTTAACTGAGATCAGTTATTAGAGTGCCTAAGAGTTACGTCTTAAGGTGTTGCTAATCTTAACATTTATTTCTTTACCTAACCCCTCCCTCCCACATGGTGGCAGCTGAGACACACCACTCAAAATCACAGGGTTTTTTTTTTTTCTAACACACCAACCATCTTCTACCAAGATGGGTGACCTGTAAAAGAAAAAAACACTCACCATCACTCACCCTATCACTGCCTTGCCAGAGGCATGCCAACATTACATCTCAGACAACTTTCCAAACTGCAATATTCCCACTCGTTTTTGAGAATGCAAGCACTGTGCTCCCACCTTCAAGACTCTCCTCCAGTTAACCAGTTTCTCTGAGTCCCTTCCAACATGTTACCTTGCTTACAATTCAAGAGCACATCAAATCATAAAAACCACTTGCTCACTCTCATAGAAATATTTATAAAAAACTAATATAGGGTAAAACATATTATACCTCAACAAATATTTATTAATCATAAATCAGTTTTTTCCACAAAAATATTGGTCCATATTTTTACAAATGCCATAGTTTGTTATGGCCGGATGGAGGGGTGTGGCACAGTATCAGTATCGGTTGGTATTGGCTAACAAAAAAAAGGCACAATACCATGACTGGAACGATACTCAAATAACCCTGTCTATGTGTTCCTTCTTTATTTATTTATTTATTTCCCCCCATCCTCAGTGTTCTTGCTCTAACCCTTTGTGAGCACCTAGCTCCCTTGCAGTGCTTCTCTCTCTTAGTATTTGACTGGCTCCTCCTCCTTTTACTACCTCCCCACTACTACTACCTTCCACCTTCACTACTACTACTACTACTACCACCTCCTGCCTATATATACCCATCCTGCTCTCCTTTTTGTTAGTGTGGCTTTGTAAATGGTTCAAGTCGGACTGAAACGTTGTCGTAGGCTCCTCTCTTCTATGTGCGGGTTATTTGTGTATGGTATGTATTGGCTAATTTTGATGGTATCAATATCAGCTAATTTTAATGGTATCAGTATCAGCTAATTTTGATGCTATCATTAGTATTAGCTAATTTTCGTGGTACTGGAATCAGTGGGGGTCAGCTAATTTTAGTGGTACAGTGGACCCCCGGTATTCGATGGCATCGGTATTCGATAAATCCGGTATTCGATGCATTTTAACGCAAAAATTTTGCCTCGGTATCCGATTGAAAACCCGGTATTCAATACGATTCGTACGAGACGTGTCCACGTGTGGCCTGAACTACCCCTTGTGTGCCAGTGTTTACAAGCCAGCCAGTGTGTGCGCATCTAAGGATACTTTCGGTACATTCCATATTATCCATATTATCACTGTTTTTGGTGCTTGTTTCTACAAAATAAGTCACCATGGGCCCCAAGAAAGCTTCTAGTGCCAACCCTGTGGTAAAAAGGGTGAGAATTAGTATGGAAATTAAGAAAGATTTTGAAGGGTTTGGGGCTAACCCTGAGAAGTCTATACTAGTTGTGGAATCCATTGTGCCTACTTCAAAAATTAAGGAAATGTGTGCACAGTGGGTTGAAGTGCAAACCTTTATGGATGAAAATCACCCTAACACAGCTATTGCAAGCCATGCTGGTGACTATTACAATGACAATGTTGTGGCCCATTTTAGACAAATCGTAAAGGAACGGGAGGTACAGAGCTCTATGGACAGATTTGTTGTGCGACAGAGGTCCAGTGACTCTCAAGCTGGTCCTAGTGGCATTCAAAGAAGAAGGGAAGTAACCCCAGAAAAGGACTTGCTACCTCAAGTCCTAATGGAAGGGGATTCCCCTTCTAAACACTAACACCATCCACACACACTCCTCCTCCCATCCCATCAATCATCACCAGATCTTCAATAAAGGTAAGTGTCATGTAACTGTGCATGTCTTCTTCAGTTTGTGTGTATTAAAATTAATATTTCATGTGGTAAAAATTTTTTTTTTTTCATACTTTTGGGTGTCTTGCACGGATTAATTTGATTTCCATTATTTCTTATGGGGAAAATTGATTCGCTTTTCGGTATTCGATGAGCTCTCAGGAACGGATTAATATCGAATACCGGGGGTCCACTGTATTATTCAGTTCAATTCAATTCAAAGTTTATTCTCTATAAGGATTACAATGCTGAGTTTACAGAATTTGGTTATTGTGTGGTTTACATGTAGTAAAATAATAATTACAGAGTGTACCACTAGAACACCTAGCATGGCTAGGCATTTCGGGCAGACTTATATTAAATCTTAAGTTTAAAATATTACAAAATTATGAGGTAAGTTGGTATTATGGCTAAGTGACTAAATACTAGTTGTGAGTTTAGCAATGTGAATGCTTTTGTTTTGGCACTATACATAGTTTCAGTATTGGAGTATCACAGGCCAACTTATGACTAGTTAAGATTCATTATTTTGAGATTGAGATTGATATTTCTGTTTATGGTCAAATGGGTGAGTGAGTGTAAGTGTGAACCACCAGGTGGTTGACTTTGATGGTATCAGTTGGCATTTGGTGGTAATTTTGATGGTATCAATATCAGTGGATATCAGCTAATTTTGGTGGTATCAGTATTGGCCTAAAATTGAGTGTGTCAGTATTGACTAATCTTGATAGTATGTATTAGTATCAGTTTAGATGTCACTCCAGACAGCCAATATCCCAAACCCCTCGTTTACTATTAATAATATTGGAGGGAGGGGTAAAGAAGGTTTTATGGGTGAGGGGCTTGGACTTCCAGCAAGCGTGCTTGAGTGTGTTAAATTGGAGTGAATGGAGATGAAGGTTTTTGGGACCTGACAAGCTGTTGGAGTGTCAGCAGGGTAATATTTTGTGAAGAGATTCAGTGAAACAGGTTAGTTGGACTCGAGTCCTGGAAATGGGAAGTACAATGCCTGCACTTTAAAGGAGGGGTTTGGGATATTGGCAGTTTGGAGGGATGTCTAAGCTATCTTATCTGAGCGCCTCTGCAAAGACACTGATTATGTATGAGTGATGGTGAAAGTGTTGAATGATGATGAAAGGTTTTTCTTTGTTTTTGGGTCACCCTGCCGTGGTGGGAAATGGCCGATGTGTTAAAGAAATGTTTATAGTTTATTGATAACTTGTTTACATTTCCAGAGTACACGGAAAAGTTTCAATAACTGAATTTCCAAGCTTGCGAGACTCCATAATAGCAGCTCAGAAGACTGGTCATTTGGCAAAAAACAGGTGAGGTGCAAGTTAGAAATAGCCCACACTTAAACTAATATTATTGTATTCTGTAAGATATAACTAAATTAAATTGTAAATATGAGAGCAGTTTGAAGAAGGGCTGCTGTGCTGAATATAAAGTAAATGAAACTTGAAAGTTAGTTGATAATACGTTGGAATGGGAAAAAGTTAATATCTTTAGTGTCAGGGTTTTCCAATAGGCAGTGGAGAACATGTCATTCATTGGTGATAAGTTCCAGCTGCTTAGGTATGGAAAGAATAAAGAATTCAAAAGTGACACTGTATGGAAAACCCAACAGGATCATCAGATAACATGTAAGAACACAGGAAAGATTAGGGAGTAATTATGTTGGCTGACCTTTCTTTCAAAGAGCACAGTGATTCAGATGTTACAACAGCTAAGAAAATGATAGGGTGGATAATGAGAATTTTCAAAATAAGGAAAATAGGGCCAGTGATGATGCTATTCAAACCACTTGTGCTCTTACATTAAGAATATTGTTCAGTTTTGAGAGCTCTATTCAGGGCAGGAGACATCATTTACTGCCCAAATAGAGCCAATGAAGATTTAAATTATGAGGAACACCTCAGAGTCCTAAATATAGTCTTGCTGGAGTGCAGGAGAGAGGTATGTATGATGTATACATGAAAAGTATTTGAGAGCTTAGTCCCAAATTTGCACATTGCCATAGCATATTTGAGTGGGAGATAAGGAAAGAAATGTAAAATAAACAGTGAAAAGAATGGGCACAGTGGGCAGAATAAGATGAAATTGTATCAACATCCTTGGTCCCAGGCTATTCAACATCTTACCAGAAGATATCAGAAATTGCTGGGACAAATTTAGAGGTCTTCAAGAGGAAATTGGACAAGAATCTCCACCAAGTGCCAAATCAACCAGGCTATGATGGTCAGTGGGCTACCAGTACCAACAGCCTTGTTGACTAGAAAGCTGTATTTGGGTTTGATGTTAGCACCAGGGTGCCAGGGCATGAAGAGTTTCAAAGTGTTGGCACCCACATGAAGCACATGATTAGCTATCCCCCCCCCCCATCAGCTCTTTCCCAGAACTTTATTATTTTGAGTCTTCTCAAACCATTTCCTGATTAACTGGTTATGAGGTCTACATAGGGTTCAGTACTGCTATCACAATCTGTAGGCCTGGTCTATTAATGGGTTGCAGGGGCAGTGACCCCAGAATCAATAACAGGTAAGATACCTAGGTAGTTGAGGTAAGGTTTTCTGCTGCGAGGCTTCTTTTCAGGATTTTGAGAATGCCTCTGCATTGATTTGCAACTTGAAACATTGACATATCATCTGAAAATGAAGGTGATGGCCCCTGGTGGCTAGCTTTACAACCAAATCCTTGGGAGTTGTCTTAGATGTTTTTTTCCCTTAATATATCTCAGTAGTACCTAGGTAGTAGGTTGGTAAGACAGCAACCACCAAAGGAGGTACTACCATCTTGCCAAGTGAGTGTGAAACAGATGGCAGGATTGCTGGTGTTTTTTCTGTCTCATAAACACTCAGGATAACAGGTATATCTTGCTACTTCTACTTCTTTCTTTCTTTCAACACACCGGCCGTATCCCACCGAGGCGGGGTGGCCCAAAAGAAAAAACCAAAGTTTCTCCTTTCAAATTTAGTAATATATACAGGAGAAGGGGTTACTAGCCCCTTGCTCCCGGCATTTTAGTCGCCTCTTACAACACGCATGGCCTACGGAGGAAGAATTCTTTTCCACTTCCCCATGGAGATAAGAGGAAATAAACAAGAACTAGAAAGAAAATAGAAGAAAACCCAGAGGGGTATGTATATATACGCTTGTACATGTATGTGTAGTGTGACCTGAGTGTAAGTAGAAGTAGCAAGACGTACCTGAAATTTTGCATGTTTATGAGACAGAAAAAAGGACACCCGCAATCCTACCATCATGTAAAACAATTACAGGCTTTCGTTTTACACTCACTTGGCTGGACGGTAGTACCTCCCTGGGCGGTTGCTGTCTACCAACCTACTACCTAGGGCTACTTCTACTTACCCTTGCATATATATTTACACACCCATCTGGGTTTTCTTCTATTTTCTTAATAGTTTTTGTTCTTTATTTCTTATCTCCATGGGGAACTAGAAAAGGATTCCTCCGTAAGTCATGCATGTCATGAGAGGCGACTAAAATGTTGGGAGTAAGGGGCTAGTAACCCCTTCTGTATAAATTACTAAATTTAAAAAGAAAAACAAAAGTTTTTCTTTTTAGGTCACCCTGCCTTGGTGGGATACAGCCAGTTTGTTGAAAAAAAAAATATCAGTAAGAGCTTAAATTAATCACCTTTGAGTTGGCATATGTATTAATGCCTTAAGATGTTTAGCAGGTACAGGAACTGTGTGAAAATATATTTGTAGGCACTGAAAAGTACCATATAATAAAATATTTACACTTGTGGTATATCAGATTTCAGTTATTTTAAGTACAACACTAATTAACTTAATTTTCTGTAGCAAAACTGGCAAGTTATCCCAGAAGCAGCGTAAGAAGTTAGCAGCAGAGGCAGCAGCAGCTGCAGCAGCAGAACAGACTTCACCTGTGTTGTCAAAGAAGCAGTTGCAAAACTCTTCAAGGAACATTTCTGCACCTGCTTGGGGTCAGTGATCATCATAATAGTTGCTATTTATTTTAGTAGTGTTCCATAATTTGAAAGAAGAGCATACCATAAGTATAGGCTTTCAGGTTGAATTTTGAAATTCTATTTTTAATACAAAACTAGGGGTTGACTTGTAAAATAGGTATAAAAGGGATAAATGCTGAACCACCTCTTCAAAATCACTCAGTTCTGTGATGATTCTCTGGTTTTCTGATACTCAGATACTACCATGGTACCTACCTGCCTTCACTTTTTATTCAAGCATATCTTGAACAGAGATGATGATAATCATAATTAATTGAGAGAATCATGTAAACATATAAATAGAGGAGCACTGCAGTAGGCCTACTGATTCATACTAGATGCATCTTTCTCACACCCAACCAGAATCACTTGCTTAACTCTTTGAGGGTCAAGAGGCCCCCTTCCAAACTTGTTCTCAGGGTTGAAAAATATAAAAAAAAAATTATTTTTCTTATGAAATGATAGTTTTTTTTTTTTCTAAGTGTTATAGGCTAAAAAAATTTTTTGCTATCAATACTTACTGAGATATGGAGCCATGAAGTTGACAGAAATTGAACCGCATACGGCAACATCGCCGACTACCGCTCACCCGGAAATAATTTATTTTGGATTTGTTAAAGAGCGTTGCAATAATTGGTGACAATATACTTGAGAAGCTTTTTTGTACATAAAAGCAGGCAAGTTGTTTGTCTCCTGCCTTGTTTTTAAGGGTGTTTATGATGAGCGTAATTCTATGGAGTTGCTTTAATAGCCCCTCTCTGCTTCAGAATAGTTGAGATCGTAGACTTTGGCTTCTTGAACTCCGCAGCAAGATCGGTAACACACACACCAATTTCATACTTTTCAATAATTTCCTTCTTCGCTTCTTTTTCAGTTTTCTTCAAACCCTTCTTTTTACCCACATTACCACTCTTCCCTTGCCTAGAGGCCATGGTTAATTGCAAAATAAATTCACAAACTCACGAAATACAACACAAGGAGTTCACAGTGAATGAACACACATCTGACCGAGACCGGCTACAAGGCGAGGTGTACACAAACAACAGAAAGTAGGGAAAATTAACGTGCAAAAAATAGGCGTGGCTGTGTTTGTTCGGAACCCGATTATGTGTTCGTGACCAGATGCAAAAATTTGGCAAATTTTTTGGTCATGTTTGGAAGCGTTTGTGGCCAAGGGTTCCACCATACGTATATCCTTCTCAAACCAAATCCTTCTTACTCGTCTATTTGTCCAACCAATTTTTAAAAATACTCAAGCTGTTAGCTGTGATGACTGAGCTGTTTGTCTTGCTTATCTACAACTATTACTACACCAGTACTTTCTTGAATTCTTTTTGAATCAAAATTTGTCCAACTTAAAACCATTATTTCAAAATAACAAAAAAGGCACAATACCGTGACTGGAACGATACACAAATAACCCGCACATAAAAGAGAGAAGCTTACGACGATGTTTCGGTCCGACTTGGACCATTGACAAAGTCAATGGTCCAAGTCGGACCGAAATGTCGTCGTAAGTTTCTCTCTTTTATGTACCATTATTTCAAGTTTCCTTAGCTTATTATCCTCAGTACCTTCTATTTATCTCATTAGTTATGCCTGTCTTCCCCTTGAATGACTTCAAACACAGTACCATCAAATATGGTACTGTAAGTATACACCTGCTGCTGGTTTGATTGAATGTGTCACTTTAGATTAAGATTGTTTCAGCAGGATATGATGTTTGTATAGAGGTGAATGGCACTTAAGTGTTCATGAAGAAAGCACCTTAATATGCAAAGCATCTTAGGCAAACTTAAGAACATAAGAACATAAGAACGATGGAACACTGCAGAAGGCCTACCGGCCCACGCGAGGCAGGTCCAAGTCTCCTACCGGCTTAAGCCAATGCACCCAACCTAGTCAGGTCAGGTCACATTGACTTAAGGGAGGAACACGGCAACCGACCTGGTAGCACAAGCTATCAGGTCTAACTCACACCCACCCACATCTACTCATGTATTTATCCAACCTATTTTTAAAGCTACACAACGTTCTGGCCTCTATAACGGTACTTGGGAGTTTGTTCCACTCATCCACAACTCTATTACCAAACCAGTACTTTCCTATATCCTTCCTGAATCTGAATTTTTCCAACTTAAAACCATTGCTGCGAGTCCTGTCTAGGCTAGATATTTTCAGCACGCTATTTACATCCCCTTTATTTATTCCTGTCTTCCATTTATACACCTCAATCATATCCCCCTAATTCTACGTCTTTCTAGAGAGTGCAGTTTCAGGGCCCTTAGTCTATCCTCATAGGGAAGGTTTCTGATACATGGGATCAACTTTGTCATCCTCCTTTGTACATTTTCCAGAGAATTTATATCCATTCTGTAATACGGTGACCAAAACTGTGCAGCATAATCTAAATGAGGCCTAACCAAGGATGTATAGAGTTGAAGAACAACCTGAGGACTCCTATTATTTATGCTTCTTGTTATGAAGCCAAGGATTTTATTAGCTTTATTGCGAACACTTATGCACTGTTGTCTTGGTTTCAGATTACTGCTAACCAGAACTCCTAAATCTTTTTCGCAATCCGTAATATTAAGATCTACATTATTTAGTTTATATGTGGCATGGTTATTGTCCTGTCCAACATTTAGAACTTTGCATTTGTCTATATTAAACTGCATCTGCCACTTCTCCGACCACTGCATCAGTCTATTCAAATCTTCCTGGAGTGCTCGAATGTCCTCGTCAGAATGAATTCGACGGCCTATTTTGGTGTCATCGGCAAACTTGCCGATGTCGCTCTTTATGCCCTCATCTATGTCGTTCATGTAGATTGTGAACAGCAGGGGGCCCAACACTGACCCCTGTGGAACACCGCTCGTGACGCTTCCCCACTCTGATTTCTCCCCATTTATGCAAACTCTCTGCTGCCTATTTGTCAACCATGCCTCTATCCAGGAAAAAATTTCTCCTCCTATTCCATGTGCTTTAATTTTCCTCAATAGTCTCTGATGTGGGACCCTGTCAAAAGCCTTACTGAAGTCCATATACACAATATCATATTCATTACCATGATCTACCTCCTCAAATACCCTAGTGAAAAAAGTTAATAAATTTGTAAGGCAGGAACGCCCCTTTGTAAAACCATGCTGAGATTCGTTGATTAATTTATGCTTTTCAAGGTGGCTACGAACTGCCTCGGCAATTATTGATTCCATAAATTTTCCCACTATGGAGGTTAGCCTTATTGGTCTATAGTTCGAAGCTAAGGACCTGTCACCTGTCTTGAAAATAGGTATCACATTTGCCATTTTCCACTTATCTGGCACCATGCCAGTTTGTAGTGATATGTTGAAAAGATTAGCCAAAGGTGTGCTAAGCTCCTCTTTACATTCCTTTAGAACCCTTGCATACAGTTCATCAGGGCCTGGGGATTTGTTAGGTTTCAATTTATCTATTTGCCTAAGGACCATGTCACTTGTGACCCTAATAGTGCACAGTTTATTATCGTCCTGTTCTACATAATTTATCATTACTGGTATATCGCTGGTATCCTCCTGTGTAAAAACTGAGAGGAAGTATGTGTTAAAAATTCTACACATTTCCTTATCACTGTCAGTGAGCTGACCCGAGGAACTTTTGAGTGGGCCTATCTTGTCCCTGATCTTACTTCTGTATACCTGAAAGAATCCTTTTGGGTTAGTCTTCGATTCTCTTGCAACTTTAACCTCATAATCTCTTTTCGCTTTTCTAATTCCCTTTTTTATTTCTCTCTTTAAATGAATATATCGATTTCTTAATTGGCCCTCTCCTCTTTTGATTTGCCTATATATGCCTCTCTTTTGACCAATCAGATATTTTAATCTATTGTTCATCCATTTAGGATCATTTTTGTTTGATCTGATTTCCCTATTTGGAACATAATTTGACTGAGCAGCTAGAACTATGCCCTGGAAAGCATCATATCGGCAACCATCACCACCTACCTGACCCTTAGTCAGGTCATTCCAGTTCAGCCCACCTAAGTAATTTTTCAGTCCTATGAAATCAGCCAAGCGAAAGTCAGGGACGGAGACTTGATTGCCATTATTAGGGGAATTCCATGATATATTAAAACTGAGTGATTTGTGATCACTCTCCCCAAGCTCATCATTAACATCAAGATTATTAATTAGTGTTTCCCTACTGGCAAGAACCAAGTCAAGGAGGTTATTTCCCCTAGTTGGCTCTGTCACAAAACTGTTTTAAAAAACAATCCTGGATCGTATCAAGAAAGTCACCCGACTCTAAATTTCCTGTCAAATTGCTCCAGTCAATCTGTCTATAGTTGAAATTCTCCATTAGCACAACATTTTCGTATGTAGATGCCTTACGAATTTCGTCCCATAGAAGTTTACTGCACTCCCTATCAAGATTTGGGGCCCTGTAAATCACACCCAAAATTAGTTTTTCTCGGCCCTCGAGAAGCTGTAACCAAACAGATTCAGTGGCTGACGCTTCTAATTTAATATCTTGTCTTACACAACAATTTAAATTGTCTCTGACATACATCGCTACTCCACCACCTTTCCTGTTGACCCTGTCAGTGTGGAATAATTTATAGCCTTGTATGTGACATTCAGAGGGCATCTCTCTATCTTTCAGATTGAGCCAGGTCTCTGTTATAGCAATAATATCTATGTTTCCTGCACTTGCAATTAATCTTAGCTCATCTATCTTATTTCTAACACTCCTGCTATTAGTATAGTAAACCTTAAGGGAGCTAGTCCCTTGCTGCCCTCTGCTGCCCCCCTTTGTTAGCTGACCTGTTCTATTGTCTTTATTTATAACTTCATGCTGAATGCCTTTTATACATTTACTGTTTCCAACCCTAGTGTTGCAACCTGCTTGTTTCCCACACACACCCATACCTCTATCTTCCATCAGTTTAAAATCATAGGCATTTCACCAATGGCCTTCTCAATCGAGTCTGCAAGTGC